TATATATATATATATATATATAATTTATTTTTTTTAATCCATTTTGAGAGAGAAAATGCAAGACAGAAAACCATTTCAACTACAGTGCATCTTTTTCTATTTTTAAACGGTAAATTTAAGTAATCAAATAATAAATAGGATACTATTTAATATAAATTTATTCTTATTATTCCCAGCGTATGACATTTTATTTAAAGCAGTCGACAATCATGCAACTGGCCACGTGAGCAGTGCGTTCCCAGGTTCGTAGGATCAGGGAACTCGCTTCTCCACTATGAATAAATCGCCATCCGAATCTATGGTTTTTATCACTGAGGTGCCATGTAAATGAACTTTTACAGACGTTCACATGAGAAACAATTACCGTCTGAATAGGACTATGGATTGATTTTGTGTTCCCTTAAAAGGCCCACCAGGCACTTTTCATGTTCCTTTCCACTTGGCAGCCATCTTGATATCATCCCTGAGTAGTTGTTTTGTAGTGATACACAAGTACAGCTCCTTTCTGTTTTACTCAGGATTAGCTTGTTAAGCTTGCTTTTCTATAACGTCAAATAGCCAATAAAAGCTGACAAAAGTATGAGGCTTTTCCTACAGTTGAGTTCCAGATATTTTAGGGCATTTCATATTTAATTTTTCTCCTGTCATACTGTCCTTGGAGTAGCTTAATTACTTCTAACTTAAAGTTAGATTCCTTAACACTGTTGCTATAAAGGTTTTAAAGCACAATCACCATTTCAGTCCTGCTTAAACAATTTCATCATCCTTCAGTCTTGATCTAATAAGTAAACCGTTTAAAATGCCATTATAGCAGCAAGTGTTGTTTGATACTGTAAATTAAGTTACTGTGTGTACTTTAAGGCTATGGAGCTTCTGGTGGAGAAGGCCATCAGCAGTGCCTCTGGACCAATGAGCCCAGGAGATGCTCTGCGAAGAGTCTTTGAATGTATTTCCTCAGGCATTCTGCTGTCTGGTAAGATGGGGCACTCTGTTATTGTCTTAATACAATTCCCATAAAACGTCTTGATTCTGAGACATACTGTAATGTGCATTAGTAATATAGCTTTTATGTTGGCATAGTGAAAAAAAACTGAATTCCTACATTTTTTGTAAATGTAAACATTTTAATGGTGTGAATTACTAAGAGTTGTCTTTTTAATTTGCTAACAACTTTTATTGTTGCATAAAAATTCAACTTTTTATGCAAAATCTAGATCTGGGGTCTCCAATCCTGCTCCTGCAGATCCTGCGAATTTCACGCCTGAAGCTGCTAATCAAGCTATTCAGAGATACTTGATAATGACAGGCAGGTGTGCTTGATTGGGGTTGGAACTGAAGTCTGCAGGGTTGGAGACCCCTGATCTAGATGCTCAATTTAAGGCCCAGTCCACACGAACGCAGTTCTTTTTAAAACCGCAGCTTTTTCTACACGCTTTGGCCATTTTTGAAAATGCCTGCCAGGGTGTAGATTTTCAAAAACTCCGGTTGCAGTGTTATCGTGTAGACAGAGATTCTGGAGTTTTTGGCTTGTGACGTCGAAGCCTGAGCGACTTATCTCCACCTACTGGAGACTTTTTCAGGCTTCTGATCGGCCAACATGGCTTTACGCTTGAGATTATATTGCCACCTGTTGGTTTGGCATGCTCTTGACAGTGCTTCATAGCACGTGTTTGCGTTTTCATGTGGACAGAGAATTTTTTTTTTAAACGGTAGAATTAAAAACTTTTATAAAAATACCAGTGTACGTGTGGACATGGCCTAATACTCTTTTGTGCTTTTCTGTGCAATGCAGGTGCTCCAGGATTGATAGACCCCTGTGAGAAGAATCCAACAGATACACTGGCTACCATGGAAGAGCAGCAGAGAGAGGACATTATGTCAAGTGCTCAGGTAATGTACAGTAACTGCTTGAGGAATGTTTGCAGTGCTTGAAATGTCCTGCAGTGATTCCATTTAAAACCATTTCAAAATGTTTTCAATAATTGCAAAATTATGCATGCCATTTTTATGGCCTCATATTAATCTAGAGTGGTAAATGTAAATTGATTACATTTCTCCTTTCTCCACAGTTTGCCTTGAGGCTGCTGGCGTTCCGTCAGATTCACAAGATTCTGGGTATGGATCCCTTGCCCCAGATGAACTCGCGCTTCAACGTACGGAATAACCGCAAGAGGCGTCGCGACAACAGTGACGGGACCGATGGATTCGAAGCCGAAGGGAAGAAGGACAAGAAGGACTATGAGGGGTTCTGAAGTGCACCACAGTACAAATAGCCCTGCTCTCCCTGCACCCATTTCAAATCCTGTTCATTCCAGGAATACAAAATGTTGTTTCTGTTGACCTCTGTGCATGCTGATTACTACTCATTAATGTTTCTATGATCTGGTAAAGACCTATTGATAGCCACTTGGGGAAATGCCAGGCTTCATTTCCTTGATGCATAGACTGTGGTCCATCTCATTTATTTAGTCTGGTGTCTCGGCATAAAGGTTTGAGATGCGCACAAACCAAGAGAAGTCAAGCCTAAAGTTCATGCTCCATTCAGCACATTGGATGTAATCATTCACCATCTTCAGATTTCTTACGAGTTTCAGACTAGGCATTTGTAGAAGTCTGGGCTGCGTACTTTTGTCAGTATGGAACAGATTCTTTCTTTAAAGTCTATCTTACCCTTCCAGTCACACATGTAAAGTAACTTTGGCAATGGCTTCCTTGGTTTTGCAATAAATTGTTTAGGTGTTTTTGCAACTTCTTTTGTTTATAGAGACATTCCTCTTAAAACCGCAAGATTGAAGATAAAATGATTAATGCGATGCGTTAGTCCTGTAGTGATGAATGTGACATTGACTGGATGTGGATTTATACAAGCATGTATTTTCCATTGCTAGTGCATTCTGAAGGCTGGGTTGGCTTTTAACCATTTGTACATTTGTCAATGTCTTTGAAACATCTTCAGATCCTTGTTCCTTCTATATGCTTAATGCAAGTGATGTAAGGCTGCACTTGTCCCAAGTTAGGCTGTAAAGTGTGCTCTGATATTCACAGGCCTCTGTGGTGTAGCTGTATCACATTTCTGAAGACACTGACCATTGAAATCAGACCTGGGCAAAATACCATAAGCGTCTATCAATTGTCTCTGTAAATTTAATAAGGAATCTTGAGTTACCGGTCCACTTCACATCAGTTATTCACACAAGGAAGTATTCAAGCAGTAAACATTTGTTCAAGGTCAAAGACATTTTTCCTTTAGAAATAGTAATTGGCCCAGGTCTGCCTGAGTTTTGTGTTCATAATGTTCCAAACCCTAAATGTATCTTTAAATGTGACTGTATGATCTCTAATATACAATCATTTAATAAGCCTGTATCTAATCTTGCAGTAGATCTTCAGAAACATGCCTGTATGGTTTTAAAGCACAGGAATGTGTTCTCTTTTTTAATTTTTTTTATGTTCTTTGTTTTTATGGATTTTGATTTGCTGATTTATAGATGCATAGTTGCTTGCCCTAATTTTGGTTTCTGGTTCGAGTTTGTTGAATATCTATTGATGAAGATGGGAGGGACACAAGTAAAATATCTGTTGTAACTGCAGCTTGATGTAGACTTACCCTTTGATGCTTGTCATTCGATGTCAAGGTACTACTACATTACAATGCCTATAATAAAGACATTTCCAGAATGATTTGTCTCCTTTCTTTCTTTGTATAACTGAAATAAAGGTAGAGTCATATTCAGTCAGTAGTTTAATTTAATATTATCAAAGAGTATCTTTTGATATTTCAGTATGTGTAGTTCACTGGTTAAATGATTCAAGTCCAGTTATTTGTGTATGTTAGTTCTAGATTGCCTTGCAGGGGCTTGATTGTCTTTCCTGTTGTTTATGCTATTAAGGAACTACTTAGTCTGTGCAAAAATAAGGGAAAACCCTAGATGCGCAACCATAAAGCAAAGAAAATAAACTTCAGAAAGCGCACTTGTAGTCAGTATATAAACGCTTCAGGGCGTATGCTATTTTTAATACGACTGCTTATTGGTTCGGCAATGAGGAAGCGCATGAGATTGACAGCCGCGCCATCCAATGAGCATTAAGCGACTTGCGCTGACCAGCTCCGAAAACGGGCAGCTCGTCCATAAAGAACCAATGATGTCGAACGGGCGCGGTTTGCTGTCTGAGCAGGTCTGCCTTCCAACCAAAGGAAATCGCGCTTGTGAAAGGAGAGGTGGAGAGTGAGAGAGCAGAGAGGGAGAGGAAAGTTGGGCTGCTCGAGCTCCCCCGGATTTCCACCTGACTGCTCGGGAAGCGGGATACTGGCAACATGTTGAGTTTGGGCAGCGTAGGAGCGAAGTCTACTAAACCGTCATTCGTGTCTTATGTTACACCCGAGGTAAGCGAAAGCGTTCATGCAGCATTATACTTGCGTTGTTTTCAAAACAACCCGGAGACTCTGAATTGTACTGAAACAGGAGCTGAAAGCGCGGACCGTCATGCGCGGGGCGGGGTTGAGTCCCATGCTGATGCTGACATTGTTGACTTTCTTCAAGTTTTTTGGGGGTATGTTTCGTTCACATGGGGAAACGCATTGACAGAGCAGCAGTGTTTTTTCATTCACTTACACCTCTACAAGTTTGACGACTGAATTTTAATTTTCTGGACTTCAAGTAGTTGTGAAGTGTGGTTGTAATCCAGGTTATCGAATGATTTTGTTTATTGACACGAGTCACGAGTGTCTTCGTTTTGCTCGGACATGTGATGTGTTTGAAGTCCATTCCTGCATAGGGCGTCCCATTAGAATAGATGGCATGGGTTGTGTCATGACCCATTGATGGCCAATAGAGTGCATGCCTTTATTGTTCATTAAAGAAAGCATGATGGAAAGAATGGTTGTACTCGGTATCGAAACAACGTGAAGATGTAAACCCTCTATTTTCACTGTTTTCCATTTTATTCAAGAAATTAGTGCATAAAAAAACATTACAAGACCAAAAAAATCATACAGTAGTAGAGATTTAAAGGAAAACTGCCATTATTACCCTTATGTTGTTCAAAACCGGCATGATTTTCCCTATTCTGTGGAGAAGTTATTTCATTTTGTGTAGCTCTGAACAGTAGAGCATGGCGCTCGCAACACCAAGGTCATGGGTTCGATTCCTATGGAATGTGTGAGCCGATGAAATGTATAGCTTGAATGCAAAATCACTTTGGATTAAAAAAAAAAAGTATCTGCCACATATGGAGTGTAAATGTTTTGGGCAGAATGACAGTTTCAGTTGCTGTTAAATTTCATTGTATTAAAAAATACAGTGAAAATGAGTGTTGATTGAGGCTGTTGTTCTGCCTAACATCTCCGCCAAGATAGGAAGTTATACCGGTATGAAACAACGTGAGGGTGATCAATTATGATGAGCTGTCCCTTTAAATAAATGCAAAAAGATCTGTGGCCTGGTGCATAAACTACTTAGACTAATAAAAGTTAGTCTGGTTTTTTTCTTCAGGACTGGTCATAAATGAAGGTCAATTACATAAAGTACTTTTTTTCTTCTTCTCCTAACTACTAGTTAGTCAAACTTAAGACACAGTCTTAACACGGTGTCAATGTTTATGCAACTGGCCACTGGTCTTCTGTGAAGAGTTCAGCTGATTTCCTCTCTGAAGTTCAGAAACCGGGGGCTTCTCAGCATTCTCCCCTCATTTTTGTTGGCTTGATATTAATGAAGACCCGCTGTGATCCATTTTTATATCTAGCAAAATTAACATAAATGGAAAGACCATGTGTTTTTAATGTCTCCGGTTTCAAAAGCTAATTTTAAGAGAATGTTTTCTCCCCCAGGATGTCGTTAGGGAAAGGAGTGTCTCAAATACTTGGGACTGGTTGTGAAGTTTTGGCTGTTGTGTTTTGCAGCTGACCTCATGGTAGCCAGGATGCTTGGTGGCTTCCTTTCCTTTATTTCTCCTGTTTGTTTCAATGGAACTTCTACAGTTTTTACACATTGCCATTCGTTTATTGATTTTGCTGTTTTCTGCAGCCTCTTTTATCTGTTCGAGCCAGTGACAAGGGAAGTAGCCTGATTGTTATTTTAAAGATGCAAAGCATGCCTTGTGGCTATCACAGGGCTTCTGCTAAAATTAATGGTGGCCAGAGACACAGTTATTATGGGTAGAGGATCTTAGTGGGCTGAATTTTGCTGTACAGTGCTGATGTTGTTCAATTTAGTTTTAGTTCTCATTATATTTCTTGTATATTACACTATAATCAAATGTTAAAGGGATTGTTCCACAAAAAATGAAAATTCTGTAATTTACCTATCTGTTGTCATTCCAAACCTGTGACTTTTTTCTCGTCTGTAGAACATAAAGTAAAAGAGGATATTATGAAGATTTCTCTGTGCTTTTTTTTTTTTCTCCATATAGCGGATGTCACTGGAGACCAAAACTGGTCACCACCATTCTTCAAAATATCTTCTTTCGTGTTAAAAATAATAAAGAAAGTCGTACAGGTTTGAAATAACATGAGGATGAGTAATGACAGTGTAGGTTTCTCATACCTACTTATATTCTCATATGTACGATATAGCAGCAGTTGGAGTTTTCATTACGGAGCAGATGTCCTGTGGAGGCATCTAGACTTCAAATATTCACTTACTCAGCAGCAGCACACTCAGCGTGTGAAATGTGGCATGATGTGTTTGACATTATATTGCTATATAGTACTTGTGAAAATGTCATTAAGTAAGATATTTTATTAGATAATTAATCACATTTACAGTTTTTACTTTAATTTGATTGCTTCTGTCTTTTTAAGGAAATAAAATTAGAGAAAGAACCACCAAAGATAGAGAAACATCCTGATTTGCTGCCAGGTAAATACGAAATCCCTTACACAATGTTTTGCTCTCTCAGGTTTTTCTTTTGCTTATTGTAAGTAAATCTTAAATATTTTTTGTGTGTCACTTGTACCCTGGGTGTAAATTTCAATTCAGACTTTAATAATCGCTCTCTAATTCAGATGGTAGCTTCCAGAGATCTCATTTAATGTAATCAGAGTGATTTTGCAGATACAGAAAAGTGGGTAATGTACTAAAACACTGTCTGCATTTCTTTAAAGCTCTGCGCACCACAAAACTGACCTGGAACAGCAGCCTGGGTTGTTGGCATTGTGTTTATTCAAACTAACATGACTGTTATTGTGTTGCTTCTTAGGTGAAGTGGAGTTCTGTTGCGCCAACCCCATTCTCAAATACACTCAAGATGATATGTCCCAGCGTGGCATCTTTGGCACATTGTTCTGCACCAATTTTCGTGTAACATTCATTAGTGATGAGAAATCACAGGAGGAGACGGTAAGGATTGGTGACAGGGCTCAACAAACCCTCCTGTTCTGACACAATCGCATGAGAAAGCAGTACTGTAGTATTTTACTAATTTGTATGAATTTGATTCATACAAAAATGTAAAAAAATAAATAAAAAGAAAGTATGAAGTGTCCAACCATAAACCTAATCCTCAGTGGGACATAAGCGAAGTGTACAAACACTAATTACATCATACGAATTTGCCACCAATTCACAGAAACGTAAAATTGTTACAAAGTCAAATTGAGAGTTTGTCTGTTAGACCAAAATAATCAACACATGAACACTGTATTCAGCTAAATGGCCATATGTAATGGTAATTGACATCTACAATGCTGTCCCCTAAGAAACCATCTATAATTTGAAATTCAACCAACCAAAGAACCACAGTGTTTATTTTAAACATCATGCACTTCCTGTATGTAGACTGCAGCGTTTTTGTTCATGTAGTGTGGTTGAAAAGAAGATCATGTGTGTTAGATGTTCATACAATGGTAGTCTGTCTTAATAATAAGAATGCTATTAATTAGGGTTGTCTATGAATTACATTTTCTTTTTTTTTTTCTTTTCTTTTTTTTTTTAAATGTGTCCTGTTTGAAAAGCTAATTTCTCATTCTGTGGGCAATATTAAATGTGTTAATAGTTTTTATTAGTAATTATGCTAAATGAACACAAATGGGGAAGTCGTGGCCTAATGGTTAGAGAGTCAGACTCGTAACCCAAAGGTTGCGGGTTTGAGTCTCGTACCGGCAGGGATTGTAGGTGGGGGGAGTGAATGTACAGCGCTCTCTCCCACCCTCAATACCATGACTGAGGTGCCCTTGAGCAAGGCACCGAACCCCCAACT